TTTTGTATATATATATATATATATATATATATTATTCTTGTGAAAGTAATTGCACAATAACTATTTATAATACAAACCCAACACCATTTTTTCCCCAAAGTCTCTTTTTTGTATTTTGTGTATGAGTTATGATGATTTTTCATTCTAGCCATAAATGTTCAAAAGAAAATTCAAAATTTAAGAGTAACAATTTCTTGAATCAAAGACTTTTAATTTGTTTTCATTATTTATCTTCAAAGGCAAAATACTCATAGAAAATAAATAATAAAGGCAAATTGGGCATTGATTCAATAAGTGTAATTAATACAAGGGTTTTCCTCAGCATTTTTAGCATGAAATGGGTCTATCATATCCTGACTATTTATATGATCCATGGGATTAAAATGGAACTTAAGGCTCTTTTTGTTGTCTAGGATTGGATTGGATGAGTCACTAAATCTAAAGTATGTTGAAGGAGGAAATAAAGGTGTAGGTGAATGATGTTTCATCCTGGGAAATTAGGAGGGATAAGTTAAATCAGGTGTATCCTACCATTTGTGGGGATTAGATGAGATAAGTTTTCTTGTTGAGTAATCCATCTTCTACTTTCAACTTAGTCAAAAAAAAATTCATTTCTTCCTTTAACATGTTTTAAATATAAGGAGTTATCCTATCCAATCAAATCATAGCCACCAATGTACGATACGCTGACAAACTCATGTTAGAATGCATGGTAGCAAAATACATTGAGTGTAAAATTTAATTACTTATTTGTTTGTTATAATTAATTTGATTCCGTGCCATTGGAACTTGTTTCAGCCTTTAAATTGGAATCACATCATAGTCATGGATAATGGTAGCAGCGCAGATCATATATTGATTGCTATAGAAGAAGGCGGAGATATTAGAGTTGAAGCATTGATGAACACCATGAAATCAAAGATTGGCTATATTTCACCCTTCTCTGCCACATCCTGCATCTTCAGAGTTCCCCATTTTCTGCGGAGAAATAACCCAGGGCCATATGGACCTGACATTGTCTCAATTGGACCCCTTCATGATCGAACCGGTAAACAGTTTGAACTTATCGAAAATATGAAGAAATCGTATTTACATGATTTTCTCTCACGCACAAATATAAGTTTGGAAAGGTTGATATATCGCACTCTTGAGTTGGAGAAACGTACCCGTGATTTTTATGCAGAACCACTTGATGTTACCGAGCATGACTTGATAGAAATGATGATATTTGATGGTTGCTTCCTGGTGGAACTATTTCTAAAGTTTGAGGGACGTTGGAAACATGAGGAACGTAGGGGCATTAGTGACCCAATATTCAACATGAAATTCATGAGGGATTATCTTTTCCATGACCTTTTGGTACTAGAAAACCAGCTACCTTGGTTTATTCTCGACTATTTATATAGCCTTAAGCGGGAGAATGAGCCTGTTCAGTCCTTGAAACAACTCGTGCTCACTGTCTTCACTGACCATCCACCGGTCGCGAAAAATTGCAAGTCCTATCTAAACTATCTAGATAGTGGTAGTTACTACCACGATGATGATGATGATATTGGTATTTTGCACATACTTGATCTGATAAGAACCTCAATAGTTTTCGCCGGCAGATTTGGATTTGAACCATCTTTCTACGACACATCAGAGACACCATTCATGCATCCTGTGACCACTCTCTTAAAGTCAGGCGTTAAAGTCCAAATAGGCTCTGGTCATGAAAGTATGATGAAAATAGAATTCCAAAATGGGGTTTTGTCAATTCCACAAGTAGGGATCGGAGAGTTGTCTGAATCACTATTCCGGAATCTCATTGCTTTTGAGCAGTGCTGTCATAGTCGCTCCCATGAAATTACATCTTATGTCATTTTCATGGATACCCTCATCCGCTCCAGTGAGGATATGGACTTCCTTTGTGAGAAAAAAATAATTGGTAATTGGGGAAGCATTGCAAATAGTTATCAGTTCTTCAACAAGCTCCGCAAAAACATTCGGGTCACCAAGTTCCACTATCATATACTCTGTGCTGAACTGGATAGATATTGCACAGCTGAATGGGAAAAGCCTCTAATAAGTGACCTAAGGCGCGAGGCGTTGTTAGCAAAAGAAGAATTTAGGCGTCATTTTTTATCTAACTTGTTGAAGATTATGTACTTGGTTGTATGCTTTATCTTTGTGCAGGTAATTCCCGTCATACTGCAAACCACATATACCATTAAGCAATACTATCAAGGCAAAACTTGAGATCAATCTGAAAACCTAAGTAAGATTTGGGTCCTTCGGGTATTGGTGCCACATCGGATTACTTTCCTTTTTAGATTTTCCGATAGTAGCGTATTTTATTTTGTTGCTTTAAGTTGGTAATTAGTTCGCTTTTGTGTGTGGGATAAATGTTTATTTTGCTTCGAGTACAATGGATTTGGTGCTCCTTGAGTCCTAGTAATAACAGTCTGTTTTTTCTTTTCTTATTCTCCTTTGCTTGCTCGACGAAGTAGTTTAATAAAAGTTCGCTTGCATATATTAAATGTATAGTAGCTATTTTCTCTAGTTCTCTAGCTATTTAATTTGCATATTAAACGTATTGTAGCTAAATTCCTCAATCGAAAAATTCCAAAAAAAGAAAAAGAAATCGAGGATTGCTAATTTAAGTCGCTCAAAAGCGACTGTATGTCCAAGGACTTGCTATACACGTTGTATTATTTATCTTTAAAAATGCTTAACGAATTAATTAAAAATAAAAAAAATACATCGAAAAAAGGTAGGCGCTCCTTACGACAAGGCCTTTGGTTTTTGAGGTC